AACCCTAGACTCGGATTCGACTGGCTTTCGAGCAAGGGAACCTTTACCTTTACCTATGGCTGCAATCACACACACTAAATACTCCACTTTCAATCGACTTTCCAACTAGATTTTACTGTGTGGACTGGCAAAATCCAGTTGGAAAGTGCATTTAAAGTGAATTGAAAGTCGATTATCTAGTGTGTGTGATCATAGCCTAGGGTTGCCAAACTCCAGGTGGCACCCGGTGACCCCCCACTGTTACAGTTGATTTCCAGATGACCATGATCAGTTCCCCTGGGGAAAATGGCTGCTTTGGTCAATGGGCTTGATGGCATTATTTCCTGCTAAATAGGGATGCCAGCCTCCAGGTAGGACCTGGGGATCCTCCGGAATTAAAGCTTATCTCCGGACTACAGCGATCAGTTCCCCTGATGCTTTGGATGTAGAGTTGACGTGGTTGTATTCGGCTGAGCTCCCTGTCCTCCCCAGGCTCCATCCCTAAATAGCCAGGAGCTTCTCAGCCTGGAACTGGCAACCAATGCTCCCTCTAAGCTCTGGAGTCTTGGTGGGCAAAAATCTACTTTGTGAGCTGCTGGCACTAAAGTTGTGAGCAAGCGATTGGGCTACTGCATCAATGAGTTTGCTCTGGAGCCATCCTTCCTGAGCATAGACAAAAACGTGTGAGCCGGAGGCTAAACCACTGTGAGCTAGCTCACACTAACTCAGCTTAGAGGGAACCCTGCTGGCAACCGGTCAGAACCCACAGCTTACAACGAAGTACACGCATTCAGGAATGGTTATACTTTTATTGCAAAGCTATAGCTGCAGTAACACAGGCACTGTTAAGAATGGCGGCAACCCATTGAGCATAATAGGATATAGGGCATTCGTATGCACACACACACCCCATGGCATGGGCCAATTAGCTACCCTCCCGCGCGCGGGACCCGCTAGGAAACCGTTAGGTGGTGAAAGCTGGGAAGCAGTAGTCTCTCACGGTACATAGGAGACTTCCAGACAATACATCCTCCTCCTGCACATCTGTAGCGATAAGCATTTCAGCACAGGCAGAACAGCAGAGATAGGAATGCAATAGCAATTACCAAGACACAGAATGAACTCCCCAACCCCCATGGCAGCATAGCTGACACAACCCTACCCTTCAGGGGGGACATGGCAACCCTAGTGCCGAGGTCCCTCCTCTCCCCAAGCACCGCCCTCTCCGGGCTCCACCCCTCAAATCTCCTCACTATGTTTTCCCCAGCCCAGAGCGGGCAACCCTAGGCCAAACAAGACAGAGAGGTCACAAATGTCCCTAACATCTTTTAAGAGTACATTTCAAGCTCTGAACAGGGGCTGTGTGGGGAACAGAGGGGTGGCTGAAGGGGGGAAAGGGCCCAACCTTTTTGCCTTTGAAAGAAAGAACAGAATTTCTATTTATCTACTTCATTTACCACAATGAGGCCCTAAAGTGGCTTACATCCTCCTCGTCTCCTCCATTTTGAGGGCAAGGCACATGGGAGTGGCAAAATGACATGCTGAGTATGTAAGCAAGGCCATGGATGGACACTTCTAGGCATCTGAGGGAGTGACCTCTGTTGCCAATCTCCAGGTGCAGCCTGGAGACCTCCCTCTTTTACAGTGGAGTCTCCAGCCTACAGAGATCACTTCCCCTGGAGAAAAGGGCTGCTCTGGAGGGGGGGGCGACGGCACTGTCCCATGCTGACGTCCCTCACCTCAAATGCCCCCCCCCCCCAATCCCGGCGGGCTCTACCCCCAAAAATCTCCAGGTATTTCCCAACCCAGAGCTGGCAACCCTAAAAAACAACTTCTTTAAAGTCACGGTTCCTGTGTCGTTACAATCGCAACCCCACAAATTAGGCTCTGTGGCAGCTATCAGCATTTGAAAAACACCAAAGGATCCTCCCATGGAATCTCCCAGCATCTCTTTTCACAATTAGCAAACACTTTCAAAACCGTGAGGTGCATGTCCATCTTAGCAAAACAGTGTAATTGTGGCCAATAAAATGGTACAGTTTACAGTAGAAATAGGTACACAGAGTAAGAATACCTGTGAAGTACTTATTAACCAGGTATGGCCAGCCTAGCAAGGCGCTGACCAAGGCAGAAAACATGAGGGACACATAGAAATAGGTACAGGTGAAGGTTATGCCAGTGTCCTACATCACAAAGAAATCAACACGCAACCTGTTTGTAGATTGTGGTGAATTATGCTCATGTTTGTTTATTTTATTCCAATTGCATTTTTTTAACTCGACCCCCCACCCGTGCTGTCCCCAGCAGCTCACAGGTGTGAAATGCAATAGATTCTTTTATTTAAACAAACTTTTTATGATTAACTAAATGGACCTGGGAGAAGAGATGGACGTGGAGAGAAGAGGTTGAAAAGCAAGATCTTAAAAGAGCAACGTCAAAAACAAAAGCCCCAGAAATATAATGGAGTTCATGAAACATGATTAAGGTTTTTTGAATGTGCAGAAAGGGTAAAGAAGAAGCCACTGGAAGATGGTGTGTGTGCGTGGGTGGGGTGGTATCTGCCCTCTTGGTAGGGTTGCCAATCTCCAGGTGACTGACACCTGGAGATCTCCCACCATTACAATTGATCTCAAGATGACCAAGATCAGTTTCCTTGGAGAAAATGACTGCTTTGGAAGGTGGACTCAGTGTCATTATGCCCTGATGAGGTCCCTCCTCTCCCCAAACCCTCTGTCTCCAGGCTCCACCCCCAAAATCTCCCAACCCAGAGCTGGCAACCTTATGCCTGGGTAGCACTGAGGGCAAAGACAGAAACGGCCTCAAGAGAGGCCTTTGGGCACCACTGAGGGTGAAGACAGAAGGAGTAACATAAAAGGAGGATTCCACATGTATCTCAGCTATGGGTGGGTGGAGAAATTAAAATGGCCTAGGAGGAAGGGAAGTTGAACAGCCTTTACAAGCATCGCTAAGGCAATTACTTCAGACCCAACCAGCAGCTCTGCTTGTACCTGGCCTCCAGTGGTGAAAAGTCCTTAGACCTACTCGTGATTTCAGCTCTAAGACTTTTATTTGGAAAGAACAAGACTAAGTAGCCGGCTCGCAGACCGGTTTATATGCCCCAAGGATAACACCCCTAACACACCCCCAACACCCGTGAACGGTCTATCTACAGTGATTAAATTAAACCTAGGTACCCTAGGTTCCCGATTGGCCAGGAACGAGGATCCGAATGTCTATTGTGTTTGGGAGCGAAGCTCAGGTACTTCACCTGACTGCATGCAGAACCGGCCAAAACTGGATCGTGCACATGGCTGGGTCAGGATACAAGTGGCCCCGCAGGGCAGCAGCCCACCAGGACCTGTTTTGGTAAACTCAGTGGCCAGTCCATCCCTGCTCTGAGCTCTGCCTTGCAGCTGACACGAATAAGCAGGTATATCCTTTCACCCCAATGGGCACCCAAAGCAGCTGACATCATTCTCCTCTCCTCCACTTCCTCTGTGAGTTCGGTTAGGCTGATAGTGGGTGACTGGCCCAAGATCACCCAGCAAGCGTTCATGGAAGAGC